TCTTTCTTTCTTTCTTTCTTTCTTTCTTTCTTTCTTTCTTTCTTTCTTTCTTTCTTTCTTTCTTTCTTTCTTTCTTTCTTTCTTTCTTTCTTTCTCTTTCTTTCTTTCATCCAGCAGCCAGTTAGCGCCAGGCACTGCGACCTAGCAGTAACCAAGACCAACGAGGTTCCTTCCTGCGAGCTACATTCCTGGTGTGTGTGGGATCGAGAGTAACCCTACAAAAACTGTCTACACCATTATGTCAGGGAGTGGTACGTGCTCTGGAAAAGTCAGACCCAGAGAACTAGGCTAGAGAGTGACCTGAGGTGCTCGCTTTCATGAGGTGGCTGGGGGGCGAGAAGTGAGCCTCAGGGCCCCGAGGAGGAGCTCCGCTCTGGCCGGGGACAGCCGGTGCAGAGGCCAGAGGTCGGGGGTGAGGGCCGGCGGGCACAGCGCCCAGAGGCTTAGAGAGGAGAGGAGTGGCCGGAGGTGGGGGCCAGAGGTCATGGATTTTACACTGGGACCTCAGGATGTGTAAAAAGGAGCTAGGGAAGGGGCACCCTTCTCCCCAATACTGCGGTTCTTCGGGCCTCTGGTGAGATCACGCTTCCTTTCCCGCTTCAAGTAGTCAAGGCTGTGAGGGGTGCTCTAGCCGGAGGGAGGGGAGGAGAGGACAGATGTCACTTCTGCAAGGACACTGTAAGAGCCAGTGAGCGAGTCACACTTGCCTCTCTCCCTTTGGTGACAGAGGCTCAGGCTGAGACGGAGCCTCCAGCGGGGCCGGTGTGCAGGCCCCCTCCCAGTGGTCACTGGCGTAAGCGAGAAAGGCGGCACAGAGATGCCCGTGAGCCGGGAAGCAGAGGCAGAAGCGGAGGAGAGTCCAGATGCCCAGGACAATTCGGGTGGAGCCCTGGAGCAGGCATGCTGGTGGGCTGAAGGGTGTGCGTGCGTGCTGGGTGGGGCTGGAGAAGTGAGACAGCTTGTCAGGGGGGTCCGAGGTGCTGTCAGGGTGCCTGGACTTTATCCAGATATGGGGAGTTGGGGGGTGACGGACAAGTACACATGCCACACTAAAGCCCTGCTGACGACCCTCCCTGACATGACAAATCCATTCCCCATCCC